CTGTAATGAATAGCCATCTGTCGCAGATACCATAATCTGGATTCTGAGCATTAATCATTGCTTTCAGGAACCTAAATGGCCTGTTCTAGTTCTATGATTCAGTACTATATCCATCCAGGGATTTGTTAATCCCACATAATTATTTGAAGTAAGGATCCTACTTTGCATCATCATGTTTTACTTTGTAATCTTGGAATCACATTCTTTCAAAAGATGGATCAAGATCTGGGTCTGTAAAAAAACAATTTCTAGTGCTTCACAACAGTGAAAAATATAAAACATCAAGTAGGTCCTGAGCATTCAATTAATAGCTAAGGCAATAGGCGTGTCCTTTTTCTTTTCTTATTTTTAACTGCATTGAATGAGAAGCTGTTTCTGAAAGTAGGTCAGATTTTAGAAGCCAATTTAATTTGGCAGAGGTGAGCAGTGATCTTAAAACATGAGTAAAAAGCATTCTCTCTAATTACATCAATCTTCTTGGCGGAATGAATTGTGTCATTTTCTTAATGAGTCTTAATCTATTGAATAAACTTAATTTATATTTTTCTGAGATCTCCATATGACAAAAATTCCAACAGGCTATATCTGAACTCTAGGTCGTGATTCTTGATTCTTACAAACACCACCGAGAAACTGGGAAATGCCCTGTTATATTAAGATAAACTGCTTGATATCTTTTTTATTGTTTTTTTACAGTTTTGGAGAGGTTCAGTCCTGTCACGGTAACTACTTTTTTCCCCTAGATGCTAGGATATAAAGATTTTTCAGGTATCCAAACGATCTTTCTGGCTCATAGAAGACCTAATCCAAAAGATGGTTGAAATCTACCTCCAAAAGAGAGGTAGATTGCCATACTGAATTTTAATGAACAAGTGAAAACAAATGGAATTCTGAACACCCTTGCTGCAGAATTCCAAACATTTTGCCAGCAAGTTACAATAGACTTGGGAATTTTTTTTACTTCCTAAATGTCCATCTATTGAATAGTCGGACTAAGAAAAAATGGAATATGATAAGTGAAAGTTAAAATGCATTTGTAAACAAAAAATAACTCAAATACAAAGGTTTTAGAAAAGCCCACTCTATAATTCTGTTTCTTAATTCAACTGCTGTGTTCAACAAGGCATGTCTCAGTTAAAAAAATCACAGTTCTCAATACCACAGGGAAGATATTTCACTTCCTGCTGATACTCAAAAAAGGCTTTGATAGAGTTGGTTAACCATAAAAAGAAATTTAAAAATTTACTTATGCAGATTCCAAATGTCTTGACTTTTCAATTCACTTGAATTGGACTGTTAAATAGTTTGACTTGCATATGCAACAATGTTTGAATTGTGGCCTTAAGCAACTGCAATTTATATAATTCAATCTTTGTAGAATAGATTTAAAATTGGTTTTAACTGGAACTTAGATTCAAATGTAAGTTTTATTAGGGTTTACTTTCAAGTAACAAGTCACAGGATTATATCCAAAAATTACATGCTTCTATATAGAAATTAACTTTCTCTCCATCTGATGCTTTCAGGTGTACTAGCCTCCACTTCCTATTCAATCCATCTTCCTTGTCCAAGACGGCCAATAGTTATGTTTCCTTGGCTTGATGGGGAAACTTATTTTAGCACTAAGTTCATAAATACCCAATTCAATTTTTGATTGAGAAACAAGAAGCATTCTAAAATCCATAACACAACATATTTCTGTCTCCTATTAATATGTAAAATAAATAGATTTTGCAGATTCCATAGATTTTCATTTATTTTTGAGATGTTTTGAAGCTTTGCCAAGAGACTTTTAGAGCAATTCTTGCTCATATGCAAACTACTGAGTATGAATAAGCAAGATGAAAATAGATTCTTTATATTCTTCCTGTAAATTATGGATATCTGTCAGGACTTGCTAAAACCATTCAAAGGATTATACAGCTTGTTCATTTTGTACACAAAAAATATAAATAAACCAATTTAAAACATTGATTCTTAGAGCAAAAGTTTTTCAGATATATTTTAGAATATTAATATATGTAAATGTAACTGGCTAAAATTGTTTGTTTTTCAAGTTCCCATTTTAAGAATGTGCTGGCTAAGTGTAAATGTAACACAATATGTTGCTCTTGATCTAGTTTAGATGGCTTTTCCACAATTATATTCTGCCCTATCTATCATCACACCTTGGTATGCATGAATGTTTTCTTGAATAGGATAAACATTATTTAAATGCTATATTTATAACAGCAAACATCTGGACAACCACTAGATTGTAGCAAAGAAATAGTTTTAGGGGTCTATTTATTATTATCACATGAGTGTCCAGAGCTTTGCAGTCCAAGTCTGTTAACCCAGTTTTATAAGTCTAAATTGAGCACATCACAAAAATGTAAGAAAACAACAAATAAATCAAGCAGGCTGAAAACATGAACAAGTTAAAAAGCAGCAACCAACATGATAGAATGAAAACTAGCTGCAGAGATCCTGTGGGTTGAAAACTATGTAGACACATAGAAAGCTATGTAAACATAAAGATCCTTCACCTATCAACTTGAAACTAATGAGAAAGACAGTCAGTGGGACTCCCACAGTAATGATTTCCAGTAATTAGATACTATCACTAAAATGGCTCTGTCAAAGTGCACATTAGATGTTGACAGCCATACAGAGATTATGTAAAATAGATTATGGATCTATTTTAAAATCCATGCTGTTTAATGGTGAAAAATTGAACGTAAATAAATTCAAGCATGTCCTTAAGAGTCTAAAACCCACATAAGTTGGAAATAAAGAGCTGATTAAGAACTAATTCAAACACATTCTTATATGGAGATTTGAGAGGACCCTGTTCAAGCATTTAACCCAGTGTTTTCAACCTCAGCAATTAAGATGTGTGGACCTCAACTCCCAGAATTCCTCAGCTGACATGCTGCCTTGTTGCCCTGTCACTTTTCATACATTGGATGGAAAAGCTTGAAAATCCTCTTTATAGATCTAAATCAGACAGGGCAGAGCAATGTAGGCAGCCTACCTGAACTGGTTTTCTCATTTTCAATTAAGCAAGCCTTTTCTCCCTCCGACTGCATGAATTCCTAAATTCCTGGAATGGGGAGTTGGGCATAAGGTCTTTCTTAAAACAGTATGAAACTTATATAAATTTAAATGATGTATTTTCCCCCCAGTAATCAAAAGCAATAGCAGCTTTTGCTTGTTCTGGGGGGGGGGGAAACTAAAGCATATACTAGAGAAGTAAACAATTTGCCGGAAAATCAGCTGTTGTCATGCAAAGTGCTTTAGATTAACACAAGCAAATTAAACCTAAAAATAAATCAAATGTCTGCCTTTATGCTGTCAAAAATATAGCCTGTTAAATAAGCTTCATTATTTTATCCAGTGAAAAACTGAGACCAACTCCAAAATAATCTAAATTGCCGAATAGGAATTGCATCTCTTAAGTGGCGGAGATATGCTATATTTTCTATGATGAGAGATTGTTAAAGGCTTCAAGGATGTGTCTTCTGAAAATAATGCACACAATGGGCTAAACAATAAAAAAGTAGTTATGTCCAATTTTTGTGACGCTAACAGGATTTATATTCATATGAACGTTTCCACCAGAAAATAAATATCAAGACATGTGGGAAAGGCATATCAAAAGCTCAACTGAAATGCCCCAGTTCTAACCATATCAGCATTTTTATCACCCAAAAGCAAAGAATTTAGATTTCATTCTATATGGGCAGAACTATTTCCTCATATTTTCCACCATATGCTAAAACCCGAATCCTATAGGTGATAGTGGGTAAGTGAATGCTACTCTATTACCCTATATTATGTACTACTACATTCACATCAACCTGTGCTGTTATGGAGGCTTCCAGATGTATTAGGTAACCATTATCAGGGTAGCTGCCTGAGGATACCAGACTGGGAATGACCATTTGATAGGGCCGTGCAATGATTCAGGTTCAGTTCCATAAAGATGTTTTGAGAGTATAGAGCCCAACCACAGGTTCAGTTTGCAAGTCTTAAAAGTAGTCACTCATTCGTGAGAACTTTTTGGAATCAAATCCAAAGTGCTACAGACTTGGGAGGGAACATTATCTGCTTTGATAGGTCAGCTAGAACAAATCACAAAATAAATGATAATGGATTCTCACTAAGAATCCAAAATGATAAAGTGCACAGAAATTTAATTCTCCATCCAAAATTGCTGCAATAAGGAGACTTACAAGTACACTGGGAAAATACCCCAAATCAATATAAAAATAATAAATTCAAACTGGCTAATATGCATTGAGTTAATTATGAAACCAAAATCAACTATAATAACATAAAGAACTAAGAGGTGGCTTATTTCTTATTGATTAACTGCTTGGCATTCCTGGAAGGGCTTTTGTTCTTTTAAATGAATGTAATGAGCTATAATATTCTTGAGGATTTTGCATTAGTCCATAATGGGGCTGGCATTCATAAATCATCCTTCCCTTCCTATGACCACAACAATGAACAAGGAAGAGATTTGGAGATAGAAGAGTAGAGTTGGATCTTACACGACTATTTAATTTCTCACAGATATTTCTCAGGTTTTTTTTAAGTCAAGTGTGTAGTTGTATATAGGGAAACAAAGTTCTAATCCCTTCTCTCTTTAAATTGTACATGCCACCATGGTGTCCATTAAATTAATATTTTAGACACTTTTCTGATTTTTTTCCTTTAAAAGTATTTATATTTCACTTAGTTTCCTCAAAATAGGCAACTAGAGGATGGTTTAACATGCACACACACGCACACACGCAAACATATGCACACATGTTCTTCACTGGTTATGGTTTGGGCTTTTTACATGCACAAAATCAGTGTTATAAGAATTAAAAAATAATTAGGATAGCAAAGGATAGAGACTGTTTGCAAAGAAGAAAAAAGGAAGGAAGGGAACGGGCAAGGAACCATTCATAAGCTTGTGTCTCCATTTTGTTTGCACTCAGATAAAATACTCAGAGTCATATCCTCACTTTTGGATTGCACATTGAGCTCACTTCGTCTTGAGGCTTTCCGAGTTGCCCTGGAAAGCTTTCTCCGAAAAGTGTCTCCAGCCAAAAAATATAAAATAGGATCCACACAGCTGTTGAGACTCGCTAGCCCTCGAGTTACTTGGTAGGTAGCATAAACCCTGTTGTTAAACGCACACATTTCCGGAGTCTGAAAATCCAACCGGGCGCGTAGATTCAAGTTTTTCATCACGTGGAAAGGAAGATAAGACACAGCAAATACTGCCAACACTATAATAACCAAGTAAATTGATTTCCTCCTAAGTGGAGAATTGTCTAAATCTTTGTAAATCAGTGCTTTCACGATTAATCCATAGCAACCAAGGATCAGAATGAATGGGATGCAAAACAAGAAGACAGTGGTGCACATGCTGTAAATAAAGTAGCTCCGCAGGTAATTATCTACTGTTGTGTCATAGCATGTCATGGTTTTGTCTTTTTTTACTTCAGTCCCAGAGTAAAAGAAGATGGGAGAGATTCCCACTACCACAATAAACCAGACCAGGGTACTGATGTAAACAGCATTCTTTTTTTTCAGTCTCCCTAATGATTTTAAAGGATGCACCACACCAGTGTATCTGTGCACACTGATGCATGTGAGAAATAAGATGCTTCCATATAGATTGACATGAAAGATAAATCTCTGCAGCTTGCACATGAAGTCTCCAAAGATCCAGTCCGTTTGATTGAAGTAGTAAAATATTAGGAGAGGGAGTGTCAGGACATACAAAAAGTCTGCTAGGGCCAAGTTGAACATGTAAACTGAGATGCCACTCCATGGCCTCATGTGGAAGACAAACATCCAGATGGCCACACTGTTGCCTAGGAATCCAGTGATGAAGACTACAATGTAGACAACTGGCAAGTAATAGAACTGAAAACCAGTTTTGGTCAAAGAACATTTGCTAGTGGCATTGCTGGTCACATTGTTAGCCAGTGCATGGGTTTCAGTCAAATTCAGGACAACCGAAAGAAAGGCTTCAGTCATGGTGACACCAATGAATTCACATCAGTAGCTTTCAAGATCTAGAATCAGCAAGTGTCCCTAGAGAAAACAAAGAAAGTATCTAAGCCATGTCAATAAAAGAAACAATACAGCAAAACAGGCAGGAGAAAAATCATATTCAATTTTTAGCAGATCTAGAAGCAGTATTTGTATTTATTTATATCGTGCTACAATCTGGTGACTTTTGGTGGCTCACATGATAGAAGAAAAATATTAAAACATTTGCAATACTTTTAGAATTTAAATAACTAAATAATAATAAAATCACTACGAGTTGGTTAATTGACAGGGCCATAAGTACTACATTTGCTTTTTTGATAGGTATATGTTCCTGCAGACCAGTTGAGATGCTTTAATTTACTTCCCTTATTTGAATGTCAATATTATATTCTTTCTAGAATGTGATTCCTTAAACTTGTGAGTTATTTTCCATATGCCCTACGACTTGCAACAAAACAGTCCTTATAGACTGTTAAACTCAGTCAAGTATCAGTTTTTGCTAAAGCATCTTATGGGCATTACCAGATGAGGCTGTTATTCATACAATCACCCTGACCCATCCATGGAATTTTGCAGATCTCATTCTCCAGTTGTAACAATATTCTTCCCTGCCCACCACCACTGATGTCTTCTTTTAACAGGGGCAAAAAAAAAATCTAAGGAGAAAAAGGCAGAAGACCTCTGCAATACTTTTTTGACTGGTATCAATACTGTCAAAAACCGTCTATCTGGAAGAATCCTGCATTTTATAGCTGGAATTTCATATACCTGGAAGGCAGATGGAAAGTAATGAGCTTACTGAAAAATTCAGCCACTGAGAAATCCTATAGTGTAAAAGATCTTCGTGGACCTTGACTGCTGCAAGACCACCACCACCCCTCACCCCCATCTCTTGTACCATACTTTAAATCTAGCTAGCAGCCAAAACAAAGTGCTTAGTAAAGACCAAATAGTGGTAGAATAGATACAGGTCGGAAATATCTATCAATAATTTTTGAAGAGTATAAACTTGGCATTACTGAAATAGTGTAACCATTTCCCCTGCATTTACTGAAAAGAATTGTCATACAGTTTTTGGCAATTCTTCTCTCTCCCTCCCTCCCTCCCTCCCTCTCTCCCTCCCTCCCTCCCTCCTCCCCTCTTTCTTCCCCATTCTAAATATATATTATTTAATGAAGTAACCTAGGAGATTCTTTCTCTAGTGGAAGAGTTTTCAATTCCTACTTTTTAAAAGAAAAATGAAGGGAATGTACAATACAGCTGTTAAGGTCTTTAAATAATATGTTAAATAAACTTCTGCATTTGTTTAAATACCCATCTTAAATGTATTTTCATATTTTTCTTCTTAACATCAGAGGAACCCCCTTTAATATATGACACAATGGCAATCTCTCAGTGTTCTACTTTTTCTCTGCAAATGTCATTCTGTACCTGAAAATAGCCCAGAGCCATCCTAATAAGAGGCTGTTGACAAACACACTTGCCACAATCTGGTCTAATTCCTTTTCAAAGCTATGGATGATAGAAAGCACAGTTACAGGTTGCCATCATGTGATCTGGAAATTAAATGTAAGCTAAATTGTCCTAAATTTCAGTTCAATAATCTTTGATTAGTGAAGGCAGAGGGAAAGAGGAATAAGAAATGGTTATTCAGGCACCATATGCATGGCATTTTTTTCCCAGAAAAGTAGTTTGGTTTCTTAAATTTGAGTTAAACAGATAATAACTGACTGAAGATAGTGGGAAAGTTTCTGAAAATTATATGGGTGGTGGCAGAGGAGGGGAGAGAATCCAGATACCCCCTTCCCAAGAAGATAATTATTGGTATGAAAAATTACACAGTCTAAAAAGCTGGAACAGGTGGACAAGAAAACTGCAGGGAGCAACAGTAAAGGTTAAACTGAATAGAAATGAAGGGAGAATCAGACAACAAGGTACTTGTAACAAGACAACTGAAATGAAGAAAATTCAGTTGTGCATCCTTAGATATCTATGGCTATGTCCCCTGTGCTGGCACTCCAACGCCTCAAAAACTATGAAACCATAGCTTTATTCATATATATTAAGCCATCATTTATCCCTAACAAACCACAATGTCTTTGCTCACAAAACACACCAAGGCATAATGATATCTGTTGGGCCACCTTTTTCAGCCATGATTCATGGGGTTAGCAGGCTATGATATCAGTCTCTGTGGGATTACATAGGAGATCTGCAACTAGTTTAGGGACAGCAAAGAGTAATACCTAAAGGTACCTTAACTTTTCCTGCTTCTATGCCCATTACACACACAGACAGTCACAGGCGCACAGAGCCTTCACCACCCTTTACCCTTGCACAGCAGCTCCTCCCTCCGCCCTAAATGCAAACAACACGGAAGTCTCCAGTCAACAAAATGGGTTCATCTCCAGACAAAGCTCAGTCCCGGATTGCAAGTCAACTACGAGGGCCCACACAGCTCCGGGGCATGTACAGAACGCGTCTTCTGTCTCTTTCTTCTGTCTTTTTTTCAGCTTCGGTTTGAGTGCGCTCCCCTAAGGTCTCATTTCAGCAAATCCACTAGGTCCTTCTAATCGACATTTTACTTCCGACTTAAGAATTCAGCGCAGGAGTCTCAAAAAAAAAAAAAAAAAAAAACCACAAAAAAAAATCACATCTCTTTGGCCACCGAGATCGTTAGCTTCGTGCCTTGTTTTTCAACCGGTATTACGCGGTGTGTGTGTATGTGTGTGTGTGTGTGCTTCCCCCCCCCCCACTTCTGAATGAAACGCGCGCGCTGTTTGGCCAGGAGAAAAAAACCCGGAGAGTTGACCCCACGGAAAAGCTCCGCGCCTAAACGAGGCTCGCATCTCAGTTACTTTGTCCGGCAAACTCTCCGAGGTTGACTAAAATGACAGATGCCGCGGAAAGAGAAAACGAAGGCGAAGATCTCTTCGCTCGGGCAAATTCTTTAGGCGGCGTTTTCAAGAGGTTGCAAAGGGCACTTTTCGGAAAGAGATGCTCCCGCCGTTCGTTTTTGTTTCCGAACTGGAAACTTTCCTCCGCGGCCAGGACTTACCTTCGGGAACGCCTCAACACGCTCGACCAGAGCGGGCAACGCGGTGTCTTGCCGCCGCCGCCGCCGCTCTTAGCGCGGCTTCTGGTGGTGCTGCCACCGCGCCCGCCGTCGCCTCCTTCTTCTTCATGCCGCGGTTCCTTCTTCGCAGCTCCCGGGCGAGGCGGGAGAAGCGGAAGGAGCCGGCGGCACGAAGCATGTGCCCGTCAGAGCCCCGAGCTTTGGGCTCCTCGCGGCGACCGCCACATTCCCACACACTGGCGAGGCGGGCAAAAAGCGTGCTGACGCGCGCTGCTCCGGCAGGCAGGCAGGCAGGCAGGCGAGGAAGTGCAGGCGAGCCGCGAGAGGGAGCGCAAGGAGGCGGGAGCGGCAGCGGCTGAGGCGGCAGAGAAGAAGCCGCCTTCAGGGAAGGGTTGGTTCCCGCCCCCTGAAGCTCTTCCCCGCGTGGGCAAAGGCAGATCCACTTATTCTTGATGCCAAAAATAAACCAAGTGGTGATTGTTATGCCTCAACATAACAGTTTGACAGTCAGTTCAGTTCGATCCAGGGTAGCAAATAAGATCAAATCAAGAGGATTCGTAGGTTCATGGAACTGACTTTTCCTCAGCTGTGCATTGATGGATATATTAAGATGATAAGGTAAGGTAAGGCAAGATGAGATAAGATGAGATAAGGTAAGGTGACCTTTATCGTGTGCACACTGGTCCACATAAAAATGAAATTCTGTTGGCTGCTCTCAAAAGAAAGTATATATCTACCCATACACATACATAACACACATATGCACATGCTATGTACACATATATAGTGCTTTTTTTGTAAAAAAAAAAAAAAGGTGCTGGAACTCACCAGTCATACAACCCGCTTTGCCTACCCTACAAGGTTTACCTTTGTAGTTGAAAAAAAAAACCTTCAGTTTTTAGTGTATCTAAAAGACTAGGATTTTGTTCAAGGTAAGTTAATACTATTAATGTTACCATCACTGTGTGGCTTTAAATTAGAAGAAGGCATTTTATTAATCTTTTGGGACATTTATCACTGGCATACCCATTTAGTTTAATGAGTGGAAATGTCAGCTTTCTATGTAGAATGAAATTGGCCCAATAAAACAAAATTTGGCTGCTTGTAAAAGATTGAATTATTTTAAAAAGTTGTCAAACGGTGTAAAAATTTACATTTGGAATTTAATGTGGATGTTGACTTGAAACAAATTAAAGTTGAAACTTTGTCAGTGAAGAGATTATTTTTAATTTATCTTTAAGTTAAACCCAATAAATAGATCTGATTAAACCTTATACTGTAAGTCCACCTTTACATCTGACCAATACATAATTAATATATATTATTAGTAATAATAATACCTCAAAATCACAAGACATTGGCTTTATTCTTAATCTTCCTGTCTGTAGTTTGAATATAAAGTATAAAAGACTAAAAAGAGATTTTCGTAGACATTCTAGCCCTTGAACTACCCAAGGAACTGAAACAGCAAAGTTTCACTGTCAGGCAAGCTTCCACGCCACCTGCCTTTCTTTCCTCTTGCTTCACCTCTTTTTAACCTCACACACACCCCACCTTCTGTAAGGTAAGGCAAAAGGCTCACTCACTGTCTTGTGAAAAATGGCTTCCATGTTTATGTGTCTCCCCCACCGCCAAATCGGCTTCCACATGACATTGTCCGACCCAGCCAATCAAGCCACACTCTGGCTGTGGTGCTCTGGTGCCTCATGGCTCCTCCTAGAGGAGGCAGACTGCCTTTGCTTTTTGTGTGGATGTGTGGTGGTGACATCCTGTAATAACAGAATAATCAGAGAAGCCATCGAGATAGAAAAATGCCCACACAGCATGAACAAATGAGATGATACCTCCCGCCTACCAGCCATTTGGAAACCCACCCTTATTGACAAATGAGTCCCTAACACAAAAATGACACCAGACCCACACTCACGAAAACCACACAGGATGTCACTACCACACATCCATGCAAAAAGCAAACCCAAACCCACACCGATGATGAGGCATGACCACAAACCAGAAGCCAGACCACAGCTGCATCATTAGCCACTTTAAACCCCTCCAATCCATACATGAAGCAAACTGACACCCACCATGAAGATGAGGCATGACCACGAATGCGAAGCCAAACAACAGCAACGCAGCTCACTATCTCAAATCCCCCAGCAAGTCAGACTAACCTGAGCACAACAAAGTCTCCACCCAAACAGAACACTCCCCCATCCAATCAGAGCACAGCCAACCCCCCATCCAATCAGAGCACAACCAACCCCCTAACCAATCAGAACACACCTCCACCCAATCAGAACACAGCCAAGCTCCCACCCAATCAGTTCATACCCCCACTGGCAGTTAAAAGGAAGAAACAGGTACAATCACACATTGCTCCTAGAATCACGAAGCCGAAAACCCCATCCTGAAGATGACAAATGGGACTTCGTCGAAACGTCGCCAAGACACTTCCAATTTTATGTGGGAGAAAACCCGAATAACCAAAGACCTACATATATGCACACACACATATATACACACACGTCAAATTGGAAGTGTCTTGGCGATGTTTCGACAAAGTCCCCATACATACACACACACACACACACACACACATATACACACACACATATATATACACACATATATACATACATACTTGATTACACACACACATATACATACTTACATACATGTATATATATATACATATAAATATTCACTGTCCATTTTGAATACATAGCAGAAAGAGAAAACTTGAGAATTCATAAGATTGATGCTATATGGAACAAAACTGTGACTGAATCTGCATGTTCTGCTTAACTAAAGGCATTCTGATGCCTTTGAGAAAGGAGCCTTGCTTGGGTCTGGCTTGCTGGAAAAACTTAAAAGTGCCTTCCTTCCCCTTCCTTCCCTCCCCCTTCCTTTCTCTTCTTTTCCCTTCCTTTTCTTCTCCTCTCTCTCCTCTCTCATCCTCTTCTTCCCTTCCCTTCCCTTCCCTTCCCACTCTTCTTTCCATATTGTTGCCAGGAAAATTGCTTGGATAAATTCATGAAACAATCAGAAATCAAGCTCAACTTGGCAGGAATTTTTTTAAAGGCATAGGTTTTAATATAGCAGGCAAACGTTTCTAGAAGGACAGTAATGGTGAACACTATGATCTGGAACCTTTTGTGAAACTTCTATGATACACATGAAACTATGAGAGCAGGTATTCTACCCTTGCTTAAGAAAACTTGTTAGAATCCTATTTTGTGTGTCAAAAATGAGCCTGTATACACAAAATAAATCCAGATCTTATCCACCAGATACTTTATTCTGTTGTGCACTATTCATGTTTTTTTTAATTCCTGAAGCCATTGCTTTCAGTCTGAATCCTTCCTAGCAGCAGCAGCAGTCATACTTTCAATTATCGCTGTGTTAGATGCTTTAAAATGTGATATACAATGAAATGAAATATTTTATTTCAGAAGCTTAATCCTTCCAAAATGGATAAAGATTTATTATATAATTACAAATTTTATAAATATTTATGGGATTAGGAATATTTAACCCCATAACCACTACCTTATGTCATTTTGATTTTTGAAAGGCTTCTGATGCTATTCCCAGATTTAGTAGCTCTTGTACTGCTTATTCTGACTGACAGCAGGCCTCTAAGATACTTTGTGGCTTCATCCCCCCCCCCATCTTCTGCAAATTTTGTTCCTCAAGATTTTTTAATTGGAAAGGACAAGCACTGAATGTACAACTTCTGCATGCAAGACACATTCTCTGCCACTGAGCTCTCGGCCTCTCCTGTAAGCAAATGAAAGCTACTGTTTATCTGCTTCATTATTAGCATGCGGCACCAGGGAAGCTAGTCGATAAGTAAAAGAGCTGTGGATTAATAAGCTTCTGGTTTGAACCTTTTTCTTCTGAGAAAGGATGAGAGGGACTTAGTATTGTCTCATCATTACCTATAATATCCAAATCATCATCAACAACAACAACAACAACAACATTATCATCATTCTGACAATATGACTGGGAGATGTTTGCTGAAATTGTCCATGTAATGGATTTCCGCTGGAATGTAAGAGGCTATAGTGGTTGCATATACATGTGCTTTGTACACAGAAAATCCATGATTGTCCAAGTGAAGTTAGAAAAGGACCAAGTCTCAGATTTCGAAGAGCTTCTCCTAGCCAAGTTGTTGAGCATTGAGCAGTCAGATATATGCAGAGACTCCAGACTAGTCAGTGTTGGGTTGGGTTTCTCATGTATTCTTTTCTTTTTACTAGTCTGCATTCCATTTAGTTTTGAAAAATTATTTCAAAGAAGAGACATTTGGTGGATGGGGATGTTTCTGTATATATGTATGAATGTATGTATGTATGTACATATGTATGTATGTGGCAGTCAAAGAGTATGTGTATGTGAAAGCTCTGCCTTTCTTGTTACATCATCCTTGCACCAGCCTGTCTAGCTTTCCATGATTTGCATATCTTCCAAATGGCATGCTCCCATTGACCTTTTTCACATTGGAAATATACACAGCCAAGGAAACTTCAGAGGTGTGTGAAGATGAATCATATAAAGATGAACACTGGCAGTTGACCACCTGCCACCTGTGAAAATATAGCAAGTTTAAAATATATTGTCAACATAAATTAAAAAGAAATTCCCAAACACCATAAGAATAAGGAAAAGAAAATAAGCCTATTTTTCAGGGAAATAAAGCTTATGAGAAACATAAAGCAAATTTTGGCATAACATATGCAGAATTGAAAGGGGCTTCCAGGCTCTGAACAGGGTTGGGGATATAGGCAGGATACAGTTGCAGTATTTTCCAGTGAACAATTGCTCAGCTTCTGTTTAAAATACCTGCCTCCAAAGGTAGTCTATTCAATTGTCATTCCAGATAAAATCTAATCTTAGTTGTTTACAAAAGTTACAATACAGAACACTGTTATCCCTAGTTGAAAACAGAGGTATTTAGTATGTACAGTTTTTATGTTACAATATAAATACAGAGATTGTCATTTCTACTCTAAGAATCATTCCTGAGTATTTGCTTATAGCATTACTGAAAGCAGCCCCAGTTTTATCTGTTGCTGACATTATATTAATACTGTCTCATTCTAGTAATCATTTAAAGCTTGTTATTCTATTGCTTTGTGCAATGCAAAACATTTGATCCTCACTCCTGTTACCACAACTGTCCCAATCACAATAGCAAAAAACTGTAGTTCTCTTTCTACAGAAAGGATGTATTTGTGTAACCAGACCAGCCTTAATTTCCATTGGTAATTCCATATGATGCCAATATGATAAAGGTGTCAGAGAAAGGGTGGGACATA